CGGGAAGAGGTCACTGATCTTGATATTGCTGAGATTGTAAGCAAATGGACTGGTATACCATTATCAAACCTCCAACAAACAGAGAGAGAAAAGTTGGTCTCCCTGGAACAAGTTCTTCATAAGAGGGTAGTTGGACAGGATATCGCTGTGAAATCTGTGGCTGATGCTATCAGACGTTCAAGGGCAGGATTGTCTGACCCTAAACGTCCAATTGCAAGCTTCATGTTCATGGGTCCAACTGGTGTTGGGAAAACTGAGCTTGCAAAGGCTTTGGCTGATTACCTGTTTAACACAGAAAATGCTCTCATTAGAATTGATATGAGCGAGTATATGGAGAAACATGCAGTTTCACGTTTGGTTGGGGCTCCCCCTGGTTATGTTGGCTATGAAGAAGGTGGACAGCTAACTGAAGCTGTTCGTAGAAGGCCTTATTCAGTGGTACTTTTTGATGAAATAGAGAAGGCTCATCATGATGTCTTCAACATTTTATTGCAGTTGTTGGATGATGGAAGGATTACTGATTCCCAAGGAAGGACTGTTAGCTTCACAAATTGCGTTGTCATAATGACTTCAAACATTGGGTCTCATTATATACTTGAAACTCTTCAGAGTACACAGGGTGACAGAAATGCTTTTTATGATCAAATGAAGAGACAAGTGATTGAATTGGCTCGGCAAACATTCCGTCCTGAGTTCATGAATCGTATTGATGAATATATTGTTTTCCAGCCTTTGGATTCCAAGCAGATCAGCAAAATAGTTGGGCTGCAGGTAATTTTCCTGTGCAGATATTACTTGCATTTATTTTTTATCCTTTTCTTTTGGCATTCATGGAACCTCCCTGATAAGGCTTGATTGGGAATTTTGAAGAGAGTGGAGTGGGGCAAGGAAGGCAGCCCTCTCCATTGATAATAAGATTTCAATGAAAAAGGACGGTATTCCAATTCCTGGTGTTTGGATGGTACACTGTCTTTAATGGGGTGGAGTGAGTTTGAAGGATAAAACTTCCAATATTATCCGTGTTGTTAACTCTAAAAATAACAGACAAGTTGAGAGGATTAAAGAAAGAACTGAGAAACAAGAGAGCCCAAACATCCAAGTTGGAGTGCTTTGAAAATTGGGTTATGAGGAACTTATTACTTTAATTATAAAATTGATTTGACTGTTCGGTATAGGATCGAGTCTTGAAGAAACAAGTGTTTCTGATAGCCATATAGTAGTTGATATGCTTTGCAGTCGAAGTCACCTGAAATGTTCATGCGCATGCATTTAAAATATCAACCTAGATTGGGAGGCCAAAGATACGGTCTGCCTAAGTTTATAATTCAAACCTTTCTTTCTCTCGAATAAAATTATGTTATACATCAGAGATTGGACAAGTAGTTTTTTATGACTGTTCCTATTGAATAATTTATGAAAGAAGTGTATGGTACTATGAGCATCTTCAAGTAATGTAAATTCAAGTGCAATTGCATGATTCAAGTATATAATTCCTAGGTCAATCTATGGGTGTGTTGCTTGTATTTATGTTTAATATGCAAATGGTAATTTAAGTTAGAACTGACCGCGCAATTCATATTGCAGCACTTAGAAGAGGTATCCTATGCAGTGTCTATATTCTTATAGAGCCACCACTAAATTTATAAGTGTTAACTGTTTTTGATCGCCTCATAGAGTGTAATAATTGCCGCCCCAATTTATTTTTATTGCTAAAGTTATAACTTGATATATGTTTTCATCTGTGACAGATGGAACGGGTCAAGGACAGGCTCAAGCAAAAGAAAATAGATCTTCATTACACAAAAGAAGCTGCGGAACTTCTGAGTGCATTGGGTTTTGATCCAAATTTTGGGGCAAGACCAGTCAAAAGAGTTATACAGCAATTGGTTGAGAATGAAATTGCAATGGGAGTATTAAGGGGAGATTTCAAAGAAGAGGACTCAATTGTTGTCGATGCTGATGTGACTCCCACGAACGAGGACCATCCGCCCCAAAAGAGACTGCTTATCAAGAAATTGGAGAATCCTGCTGCGGATGCTCTGGTTGCAAATGACTAGTGTTGCCCTTTATAGTTTATAATTATACCTGACGGTGACATCACAGAGTTGTTAGTATTTAGCAGGCAACTAAGAAATTCTCTGGTTAGCGATGTTTTCCTCACAACCTAGAGTTATGATTTCTCCTCTCTATTTCTCTCTCCTTGCTCCCCTGTTCATGACTGAGCAAAAACGTGATCAAGAAATGTTGGGACTGGGATCAGCTCAAAGGCTGAGGTGTACGAAGTCAAGAATTTAACTTGTCAGGCTTATTTTATAGTCTATTTATTTGTATGATCTTTTCTCATTCATTATTGGAAATAAAATTTTGAACATGCTAGGTTGATAATGCGGGCAAGGGGCGAAGCAGAGATCGTTGAACATGGTCCACGCAGCATGTACTTGTGATTGCGAGGCCGGTAGAACCAAAAAAATACAACCACCTCGGATGAAAAAATGGCCAAAAACCGGACACAATGATTAGTATCATCATCGTTGCATGCATAGGAGAACAAAAAGGTTTCATCTCCTTTGGCCGCGCATGACATGGGAATTCGAACCATGGAACAATCGCCCCGAGCGTTAGCTTTAACTGCCACAGGATGAGTTTGGTCGGACGTTTCCCGATTTGGGTGCCCAAAACGGACATCACATACGTAACCATCTCCATTCATGCCTTCCTCTCCCAAAACTAAAATCGGGGCCACATGTATGCGATTTTCTTCGGCTCTCACAGAAGACTACTTCATGGGAAGATATTAATTCCTAAATTCCCATAATCCGATTTTACGATTGGGTTCTTTTTTGTTTACGTAATGTTAGGGGATAGATATACACGTGTATCTTGCGGTTGGGCGTGGAAGAATAACAAGCCAGCTTCAGCTAACATGAGGCGTCGATCGCTGTGCTCTGTGTGGCTGAGAGCATAGCTGCGTCATGCTCCTCTCCAAGTCTCTTTTATTTTCGCACCATCTCCTGGGCCCCGGTGGCTAAATGAAGATAGAATCCGCCCTTGCAAACACCTCGCATTCCTTTTGTACCCAATGAAGCTAATAACATGTCAATTTCTCGATTCTGAATACAAATATATTTTTAATGTGGAGAGACACGGATGTTGCCACCTAATTTTTTTTTGCTTTTGGAATTGAAGCCATGGATAAATCATGCTAACGGACAAGATGAGTCCTATCAAGATGCAAAAAATTACTAAAACCAAGTGGCGAGGCATTGAAAATAATTTAGTTCACCCTTCCGCTTTGTGAGATTTGATGTTAGCCTATTTCTTCATTTTCCCTCTCTCCCCCTGTTTCCCCCCTTTCAGTGTGAAGCAAGACCGATAGCTGCAGAAGTTGTCTAACCACAAACATGAGATTCATGGGTGTGGCGTAGACAAGATCTTAATGAAAAATAAATGAGAGGTGAGGCCAGGCTAGGAAACATGGCTGCAGCTAATATTTATATGATTCCCGAGATCCTCACTGCAATATAAAATAATAGAGACAAACAAAGATGGTTATTTAAATTCAAAGAATGCGACGAGGGCAGCAGAGTGAGTGACTCTCTGGTTTATTAAATCAAATCCAAAGAATCTGGGACTGGGAACAATCTATTGAAGAGGGGGGAAATGATACTCCCAGTACAATGTTGAGCTAGATCCACGGCGTTTACAGTGTGAGCTGGCACTTGCATTCCCTGAGGTTGTACATCTGGAAACAAGAATGAGCTGATAAACAACGGGATTCTGGGACCCAGGGTCATAAAATCATCACCGGCCTTCACGAAGCTTCCCTTGTTTACACACACATAAGCCGTCTCCCTGTGGTCGAGCGGTAATCGTTTCCCTTTACACACTACATTCAGTACAGTACCCTACCATGTCGTAGTACTACCATCCATCCCCAAAGTTTCCCGAATCTTGAGGCAAGAGCCTTTCCACGTCTCTTTTCTTCCTTTTCCTCTTCGCTCTCTTTCTTAGCATAGATGTGCCACCTCCAATCCACGGAAAAGCAAGTTTGTTAAGGTGGTCTTACCGTACAATCAGTGCACTCATGCATCATTTCTTACTATTTCTCAAATCTCAACGAATAAAACCCACGTCCAAACGGCATCGGTAAAGAAGAGCAAAAAAGTGAAGAGCTCGTGTTCAGATCTTTTTGTTTTTAATCTGGCCTGATAACTTGGTTGCCTCTTTATCTATAATAAAATTGCGAATATAATTACCTAACAAATAAATTACGACTGTTTAATTTTTTTCAGGGACGAAAGAGCCATACAATTAACTGTTTGTGTATACTCATAATAATTATTAATTAATAATTTCTAAATAATATGCTAGCAATTCACTATAAATTTTACATTATAATATAAAGGGATGGAAATATCAGCAAAAAGAAAAAGTAAGAAAATTGTCAAAGGTCGGTTTAAATCCCATTTTTTAAGGAGGAAAACGCAAGGAAGCAGGCTGATTTGAAAAAGAGGTTCAGTTTTCATATTCATCCTTGAATTCATTTTTAGAAGGAGATTTAAATCATTCAAATTTGATCCAAATTTAAAGTATTATTATATAATATATTTATTAAAATAAAATTTTATAAAATTTATAAAATAATTTTAATATGGTTTAAATTTAATTTAAATGATTTAATTTAATATTAAAATTTTTATAATTAATATATATTCTGTATGTTCTAAACTGTAAAAAGCATATATATATATATATATATAATCAATAGATATCAATTATAAAAATTTTAAATTAAATTTAAACGAAATTAAAAATAGAAGATTTATTAAAATTATTTTTAAAAGTTTTATGTTAACAAATATAATATATAATAATAATATTTAAAATTTCTCAACTTGAGATGAGTTGGGAACCAATTCCTTCGAAAAACACAGTATAGATAGCAAAATAAAATAATAATCAGATAAAGTGAACTATATGATCATTGATCAGACTTCCTTATAACTCAGTCTCGCCAGTTAGTCCCCCTTACCGAGCACTACTCTCCCTCCCACTTCCCCAATGCACGTTGCCGGAGAATGGCAAAGTGTCACCGGAGCAACGTCGGACCCTTGATTCTTGATCGCCACGATCCTACCACTAATGCAGCCGTCGGCGGCCACTTCCGACTATGGAATGCACTCTCGGCCTCCTCACTCCGTCGTATCATTTTTGACGCCGTGAGCTGCGGCGGCGGCTCCCGTTATCACCACTCCCACTATGACGACTTCCGCTCCACTGTCTCAACCTCGACGTCAGCCTCCGCGAACTCGAAGGAGAAGCACCGAGAACAGAGGCAGGGACACTCCGAGTATAAGCGTAACTCCAATGAGAGGTCCGAGAAACTGTCGGATCTTCTGCATATAGCAGACTCCGAGGCCCGTGCCGAAACGAAAAAGAAGGAAGAGGCGTTGCGGGAGCTGAAGCAAATCGTGCAGGAGTTGCAAGCAGAGGACTTGACGAAGCGGCAAGTGGCAGCTTCAAATGTTAGATTGCTCGCCAAGGAAAACTTAGAAGTCAGAGGGACTCTCGCAATGCTTGGCGTCATTCCTCCTCTGGTTGGAATGCTTGACATGGAAGACGCTCTCTCTCATATCGCTTCTCTGTATGCGTTGCTCAATCTCGCGATCGGCAACGATGCGTGAGTTTCGGGTTCCATCTTATGGTTTTATTTCCAGTTTTCTTAAATTGTGTTACGTCATTTTCTCCCTTTAGCCCATTTAGTATCTAGGTGTCATTTTGTGTTTATCACGCTTTTCTTTGTTGATTGCATGCCGGCTTCTCTTCACATGTTAGGTTTTACTGTTTTTTCACCTTGATGATCAATTGTGTGCGCCTGTGGCTGGTTTTTCTTTTTCTCTCTTTTGCACACATTTTTTATTTTACTTCGTTCCTCTGTTTAGGTTCGCCCTGGTTGATTTTAGCAACTTTTGTTCTGACTGCGTTTATTTGGACTGTTTCTTCTTCAGAAATAAAGCAGCCATTGTCAAAGTTGGCGCTGTTCACAAGATGCTAAAGCTCATTGAATCTCTTACTGCTTTGGATTCATCAGTCTCTGAAGCGATTGTTGCAAATTTCCTTAGCTTGAGTGCTTTAGATTCAAACAAACCAATCATTGGATCCTCTGGTGCCATACCTTTCCTCGTTAGAGCCCTTGCAAATTTAGATAATAAATGTAGCTCTCAAGCTAAGCAAGATGCTCTACGAGCACTGTACAATCTTTCAATTCTCCCAACCAATATCTCATTCCTTTTGGAAACCGATTTGGTTCCACATCTGATAAACACAATAGGAGACATGGAGGTGAGTGAAAGAGTCCTTCTCATCTTGAGCAATCTGGCATCAACTCCAGAGGGCCGAAAAGCTATCAGTGCTGTGCGGGATGCATTCCCAATTCTGGTTGATGTGTTAAACTGGACAGATGCACCAGGATGCCAGGAGAAGGCATCCTACGTTTTGATGATTATGGCACACAAAGCTTATGGTGACAGGCAGGCCATGATTGAGGCTGGGATTGTGTCATCATTGCTCGAGTTGACACTTCTGGGTACCCCATTGGCACAAAAAAGAGCCTCTAGGATATTGCAATGTCTGAGAGTAGACAAAGGCAAGCAAATTTCAAGGAGTTGCAGTGGAAACTTACACGAAAATGTCTCTGCTCCTATCTGTGGCTCTTCATCATCTTGTACAAAGGCACATGGAGGTGGAAGAAGGTCTGTGGAGGGGCAGGAAGATATGATGAGCGAGGAGAAGAAAGCAGTGAAGCATCTAGTTCAGCAAAGTTTGCAGAATAACATGAGGAAAATTGTGAAGAGGGCTAACATACCCCAGGAGTTCGTTCCATCAGAACATTTTAAGTCACTCACTTCAAGTTCGACTTCGAAGAGCCTGCCGTTTTGAAGGCTTTTAGCTGATGAAGGGGAAGTCGAAGTTGAAGAGAATGAACCATGTAGTTGATCTTCAGATCTTAATTTTGCTGAGCTTTTGGTCCTGTAGCTATTTGCTAGCACTTGTAAAATATTAATAATTATTAATTATCAATTATCAGTAAGATAAGAATAATCCAAGTGCTTTTTCTTTATGGGTTTCTCACTTTTGCTTGCTTTCTTTTTGGGTGGGTCTCAGTGGCAGATTCTTTGTATTTGGTATGATTGCCAATCCACCAATTAAACATGAAAGCTTTCTGTTTTAAACCTGAGCTTTTGTGATCAGAATGCCAGTGGCCGGTGGCTCGATCTAAATTTTTTGTGATTGTTTTGGAGGGATTCTTGTCTGTCGGCGGCATGACATGACTGGAGGATAAAATTACAACCGAAGACAACTCCAAATTTGTAAAGATACTTGCTGGAAAATTTTTTGTTTCAAAATTATTCTTAAGTGATATTTTTCAAGTCTTTTTAAAATAAATTGACAAATACGTGGGTTATATTTTCTACTTGAGAGAATCTTCCCTCCAAGGAGTCACTTTCAAATCATCGGAACATTTATTTCTTCCCAGCGTCCTTACTAGAGACATTGACATTTTGCTTTACCTTTTTGCTTTCGTGAATGACATATTACTATTTCTAGTCGACGCTATAGAGCATGAAAGGGTGTCGATCGTTTTCATCTCCCACGTTAGCAAGGACTCTTAATGCAATTATTTCCCTTAATGGTTTGTCGATTCCATGTGCGAAGTCTTCAGGAATCTCTAAATGAGCAGAGTTTACGTTGTTTATTAGGCATTTACAGTTAGATTATAAGCTGTTACCCCCTTGCTTCTATTAGTTTAAGCATGCATTAAATACTGTGTATTTGTTTAATGCCGGGACCTATTTTACCGAACCGTTTTCTCACACCAACTATTAATTCACAGATCTCAAGGGGAATGGAAGGATCCCAGCTGTCTAGAGCTGACCTGTTCCTCGCAAATAAAAAATCAGTGGCATTTAGTCTTAACCATGTTACGTGTTGTGGGGTTCAGTAACCTGTAACTTTCTGATGGCTGCTTTATTATTTTTGTTGACTTTTGGATAACACTCCAACGCTACTGTAAGTTTTGGTACTTGTCGGTTATTTTTTTGCTTTGGAAGAGAGAGTCCAAGAGCAGTCAGCTAGAGCGAGGCATCAATTATTATTGAAGGTAATGCTTTTCCTAGTTGGGTGGCAGGAAAAGGAAAAATGACAATTTGTTTTCACAGAAAATGTATGTACAAAAATCAGAGAAATGGTTCTGAAACTTCATGATGCACTGGGTTTAGTAAAAATAAACTTGAATACCTGAGAGTATGCAATTTCCAGTTTTGTACTGTGCAACCCACAAGCGAAGGTCAGGGTGTTTAGCTAAATGAGAAAACCGAATTTATGGTCGCTGAAGCTCCGTGATATGATCGAATACAAGAAGGACGTGGGAAATTCTTGACGTACCGCACATGGTCCTGCTTCATTTATACAATATTCAAGGACATCGAGGCTGCACGTCATATTAGAGTGAGACCCACAAAATGTGAGTAAAATGGTAAGCCTGCTTGCTTCTCGTGTTACCATTAACTGCTGCAAAATAAATAAACATGCAAGAGTACAATAGGAAGTCCGCCTGCATTGAAAGAACATTGCCTAGACAACTTAGTTTTCAACAACCCTAGACTTATCACCAAACCCTTTGTTAAGTCCTCTATGTACTCTGCAGAGCTGTCGGTTACTGCAATTACCTTTAATTCAATGCTTTCAACTATTAAATTTCTTGTGGGGCTGTATGGTTCCATTTTTGTTGCTTTTCAGGACTATGTGGTATGATTTCAGCTCTTTTTATGTAAATGATTATCCTTTGGATATATATTAAAGAGAAAAAAGGCTGTGAAAATGAGCAGGAGTCAAAGATCATAGGAGTAAACTGATAGAATAATTAGGAAACGATCTTGGTAGGAACTAACCGTAGATTGAGCAATTAGCAAAAAGAAAAGCACGCCTTTTAATAGAAAAAGTTCTCGAGGAATTTCTCAGGATGCTTTCATCTAGGGGAGAATCTAGCACGAGAGATCGACATTGAGATGTGGAAGTAAGGTCCAGTGTAGGAACTCATACGTGGATTCCATCCTAACGCCCATGTCTCTTTGAAGATCCTATTTATGACTAGAGAATGCGCTTCCGCCAGATATAATAAAACCCCACGCGAGTTGTATCGCAACCCTGTTCGGCTGTTCTGTTATCACAGTGGTACCTAAAACTGTCACCTACTCCCTCAATTAAAAAATTTTATATTTTTTAAGAAATTGTAAATTTAAAAATGTAAGTTATTTTAAATTTTTTAAAGTTTAATCATCATTTTTTTTAAGTATTCTTATTACATAAATACTATTTTATATTCATTTTGAAATAAAACACCTCATTAAATAAGGATAAATATAAAAAGATATAATTAGTTTGAAAATAAGTAACTACTTTACGAGGGTTGGATTCGATTAAAAATACCTCACGTTTTTCAACAGAGGGAGTAATTTTTTTAATCTGTAGGAATTAATTAATTAGCTTTTGTATTTAAGATCTAAAGGCATAACACAAGCATAATCCTCGTATGGTCGTTGGTGAAATTTGACAGAGACGTGCTTCGGCCCATGCTCAGGTTGGTCCCAATTCCGACCGAGGGTGCTTAATTTTCTCCAATTATCAACAAATATCTGGAGGTGCCTTTTGAAATGAGATGGTGAGGATCCGAGACTTTACTGTATTTTTATCCATCGACTTTTTAATATATGATTGATTCAATTTATATAAACAATTACATTGTATAAACTAACATGGATATATCATCAAATAATGATTTGATCAAGTCTCGTTGATCCTGATGAGACCTGATATTATAAAAAACACACAAGGATATTAAAAAAACAGAGAGAGAAAGAGAGATTGAAATAGGCGTGCTGCATGCGCTCCCTTTTCTCTTTAGCGGCACTTCATGTTCTCCCCTAGCTTCATCGTCGTCGTATAATGTAATTGTGTAAAAATATCATACAATTCACCCTTGTCATGTTTAGTCTAAAAATATTGTTCAGCTATCTTTTATCATGCAACTCCAGAGAGCCTTGCACGGCAAGGTTTAAACAAAGTATTTTTCAATGTTCAGACCAGGTGACCCGAGATAATTGTAACGTTACTCAAGTATAGCGTATCATTCATCAAGCCACGCATGAATTAGAGTGAGGTTCACCTTTGTTTTTCACCAAGATCTGGGAAAACATGAAGTGTATGTATTAAATATATACAATAAGGGTCCAATTCAGAATGTAGATGACACGGACATCCTAGGTTAACAGAACAAGTACATTTGTGAAAGTCAAAAAACCAATCACAAGACTCCGGAGTAGGTCCGTGTCTTGTTATTGCCCGTCAGAATAGGCATTGAAAAAACAAATAGTTTAAAGCCTTGAACATCACCTAACGGGTTTATTTATAATGTCCAAAACTCACCCCCAAAACTATATCAAATTTATAGCTTTTCTTCAAACTATTCCTATCGACGGCACATGTTAAAGGAGGTTTCCATCAATAGGGTGATTACCAATGTAAATTATTAAATGGAGTATTTTACAAACATCTAACTCAACTAATTCTTCTATCTTTATAAATTAGCTATATAGCTAGCTTCAATATTCAGGACAAGAGGAGATAAATATTTCTGTCTGTATGTGCATGAGTGGGAGAGAGAGGCATGGATTTATTCACTTGTAAAATGTGGTTAACAGTACCTGGTGAGCATGTGCGATCCCAGATCTTGCCAAGTATATATTTTAGAAACAGAGACAAGAGTGCAAAGAAGTGGTGCAGGGACTACTGCATGAATGGGAACAGTTAGCAAAGTCCGCAGAGCTATTACTTTTTTTTTAATCCAAAATATAAACAGTTTTTGACAAAAATTTGCATACCAATAAGGTTTTCATTCCCATAAAAATGTATTTGTTTTTTCCTTTTATCTTTAATTTCAATTGCTAACGCATTTTATGATGAGTAAGTTACTTTTATAGAAGTATCTAGGCTAATAAATATAAGAGCAAAATGATTTTTTTTTTTTTACACATAATAGATTGCTTATACAATTATCTTGAATCAAGCTAGGCAAGAAGAAATGCTTATATTTTGGACAAGTACGCGACTCACTTCATTTACCTATATTTTTTACAAGTCCACCTGGGAGAATTTGAACCCTACGATAGCAAAACATGAAACATATGGCAATAAACCACCAACAGACCTCCACTAACCCGATCGAGATTGCCTACATTGTTAGGGACGCATGTAAATGGCAGCGCGGAACTGCAGAACAAGCATGTGCTGCAATCTAATAATTGCTCCACTTTTAATGGCGTCGCCTTGCTTGGCAGAAGTACAATCTGCAAAAGAATGCAGATATCATGTCTTCATCAGAACCCCAGCGAGAATGATAAGCTTGTCAAGAACACCGGCTAGTGACCAATCTGCCATGATCTCATTGCAAATTTTTACTGGCCAGTGAAAAGAATCTCTCTCCCCAAAAGACGAAATCATGCATCAGCAATGAAGACCGAAATTATAGATCTAACGCATCATATGAAGAAACACGTCTAAAGTCAGGACTCATGATAAGGACCAGTTATAAAGGAGGAAGGTTTTAGAAGCCATGCTCTTCCTTTCACCTTTCTTCTTCCGACTACAGGACACAATCAAAATCCTACAAATCACATCTCTCACGTCATTACAAAAGCAGCAGCACTCTGGAACCCAGGCATAAGAAAACGTGCAAGGTTTTTATTCATGTGAAAATCTTCACAAATAGAAAACAGAGCAAAGAAATAAGATACATACAAGATAATGAGTTCTCCTCAAGCAGATAAAAAGATTGGAATACTCTCTCACTCCCCCAACAGCCCTCACACAACATACAACATAAAAAGCATACCCCTGCCAGAGCCGGATGGCATGTCATGAGACTGCAACCTGAATTTGGTCCCTCATGCATGAGCCACACGGCTGTCCTAATCTACACTTACAATAGATCAAGTAGAGAAGTCACTGATAATAGTTTTTGATATTTCAGTTAAACCGCCCAAAGCATGATAATAAGATAAGGAATGGGCAAA